ACTCTGGGAGCATTCAGTTCGTCCAGGGATGCCCATGGAAGGACATGTGCGCATGTGGTAAGGATCCTGCCTTTAATTATACTGTCGTGGTCACTAAGTCCAGAGGGTCTTGTATGGAATTTCTTAGGTATGTGCCATCAACGACATGTGCGGTGCAAGAATGCTTCGGCGATTGGCTGCCTCTTTCGAAGCAGTCGATTCCGGTGGCAGAACTCCACTTCTGACGACGGTCTGGAACGGACATCTAGAAATGGCTGCTTATCTCCTGGAGACCGTTGGTGTAAACCCAAATTCGGTCGATGAACAGGTGGGTATACTCAGAATTTTTTGGATCTACTAATATATTCTCCATTTTAGGGAGCATCAGCGCTTTCGGTTGCAGCTCAGCAAGGTAATCGTGAAATGGTCGTGCTTTTGCTGAGGATGGGTGCTGAACCTTCGCTAAAAGATCTAGATGGAAGAACAGCTTTAGATGTTGCGACCATGTATGGGCATGAAACGATCAGAGCAGTTTTGCAGGTGAGCTTCTTCAATTCTCCAAACAGACATCGAAATTTCTTATACAAAATGAGACAAAAATGCTTTACAAACCAGGAAAAAAATAATTCAAAGCATATTCCTGGAAGTTGTCTCTACTTTATTATCTCATCCTAAGACCAGAATCCTTGAAAAGCTTTTTCAGTTGTGCATTCGCGGTTTAAATTGGGTTTCGGTCCAATATCATCAACGTAAGATGAGAAAACTCTCTGATTTTTTGGAGCTAGTAATTTGACAAATTTACTCCTGACTCTGAGACTTTTGTGAGATTTTTTGGACATCCCTTTAGTATACAAATTTTGTACTCCGCTTAGTATTGTAAAGGTTTGTATTTATTCTGTGTTTTTAGAAAACTGCTAATACGGTATACCTTTCGCAAATACGGTAAACCTTTTGCTAATACGGTGTACCTTCTGCTCCGAGGGATGGCAATCTAATTTGTTTAAAACACATCAAGTTGTTTTAGAAACAAGATGTATAAGTTCGAGCTCACACTAATTCTACTGAGGATTTGGCAGCGACTAAGAGCATCTAAGACGTAACCATACCAACCA